CGCATCTTCAAGAGAAGACTTTGCTCTATCTTACGAAATAATAAAACAAACGTTTGCATTGGGTTTTAAAAAAGTAAGATTTTTGGAGATCCTGGATTTCTGAGAAAACCTTTTTTCTAACAGATTAAAGTCAAATTGAAATTTTTTGAATAATATATATACACACATCGAAGTCAGTGCTGTAAGAACCTATCGTCAGATTTATTATAGCTACTAGGATTCACGAGAAAGAACAAAAACAAGTTTGTTGTTAAACTTTTTGCCACCACTTTAGGTAAAAACAATGTTTGAATTTGCCATCGAGTAGCTTAAAATTTCAAGTTTCTATAGAGGAATTTTAATTTAATAAAATTTAATTTGTTTTCTCCGAATTATGTTGACTTCAATCGATGATCTCAAAAGAGAAAAGTTAAATTCAATAACAGCTTCTTACAATCTATATTGCAGTGTATATTTTAGGAAAAGAGAAACAGTCAAAAATAGACGTCATCTAAGACACAAAAGAGTCCTGATTTTTCTAACAGACATTAAAGTTTTCAGAATAAAGTTTCAGTAACAGTCACCAGCGTGTGTAATATACAGCTTGACGCGTTAATGGTGCTAAAGTATGAAAATGTCCAAGTAGTTTCCATATGAATTCTAATAATCATTCTATAATAGATGCTAACCAAAATGGTATGGACATTCCATTTGATTGTACAGATTGTGTTTGTACTAATTGGCTAACAAATGCTCTACATATGTTATTTCGTTCATCTTTTAAAAAATATATTTCTAGTTAATCTTCGAACTCTTTGAATTTTTCTCTACCTGCGAATTGTACACATCATTCTTCAACGTTAATGGACGGCTGAATGCCATAATTCAAAACCAAACAAATATTCAGCTGCACTTGACGAAAATTAAGCAAATTGAATTCACTCTAAACGGAATTATCCCTCGTTTAAATCTTAATTACGTTAAATTCTTAGAACTCAGTTGTTGGGAAGTGACTCCTCAGCAGCTCTCACACTTAATATCGACCTTCAACCAACTTCGATCACTAAAATTGAAGTATTTGACAGATCCTTCACTGCTCTACTCACTGTCTTTCATGAAAGTTCTTATCGATTTCTCTCTATTTGATTCGCGACGAAGAGTTGGTTCTCTTAATTACAGCCATACGTTCACTCAAATCACTAACGTCTTTGAAAATTTCCGATATTCCTACTGGGAACTACTCGAAGTTTTCCATAAATTTAACATTTCTATCAGTTGTTTTGTTAGACAATCAGGTTCTCTGCCACTTAACTACTGCGCTACAAAAACTAAAATCACTCAAAATTCAATACTTATTTTTAGACAATTTTGTGCCAGCGGTTAACCTTCGAAAAACTGCAATTCTACCCGAACTTTGAAAATTGAGGAACTAGATTGACTCTCTTGCCATTTCAACTTACCTCACATTTGACTAATACGTTCCAAAACTCCTTTAGCCAAATCGATTTTACCAAGCGACGTCTTTTGTCGATAAATTGACTGCACTTCGACGGGTTCCAGAGCTCTCTTCCAAGCACCAATCTCAGCTAAACTTGCATTTTGTTGACGCTTCACTTCAATTGCCATAAAAAAGAATGGGTGAACTTTTTCAGGGAGAATACCACTAAGACATTTCTGACTATCTAAATAAGTATCAGCTAAACTTGTAAAATCTGAATAAATATAGGCAATATGATGCCAATCATCTGTTTTTACTGTTATTTTCTTCTTTAGCCCTAGTAGAAGCGGAGGGGTGTAAATTTCACATTGATATTTTTGATCATTCGTTTTCTTTAAATGAAGATGGAAACCCCAAAATATTTGAGGAAGTGATCCAATCAAACCGATGTATAATGAACTTGGATCACTTGACGAGGAGGCACGAAGATAAAACCAAAATCAAATGGAAAATGATCGAAACACATTATTCTGATCTTGCAACTGGAAACTATTAAATGCTTCATATGTGAGTGAAGTGCCGGTGAGAATTTGACCAAAGTTCTCATTTGATTCAATTCTTAGATTCTCACTGCTCCGACGTTCGCCATCGTGTTTGCCTACAAATTCGCATTGAGATGCCGGAATCGAGTTTAATAAAGGGTTTCGACTCTCTGTTGTAACGTTTGAGAAGTTTATATAGAGAACAAGGTTATCTGTAACCTTTGAATACTTGGCAAAATATTTGTTTAAGAACCATGTATTCAAGATAAGCCGACGAAAGTCGTGAGAGATTGAGGCTAAATGAACAAGTTCTTTGAATGATGCTCTTGACAGCAAGAAAATGTGCTGCCAAAGTTCAGACGAGAGTTGAATATTTCTGCTGTCCGTGTTCGTGCTCGTTATTTGAGACAGAAGTTCGACGAGTAAATGAAGAGAAATATAAAAATATAAAAATAAAAGATTTAGGAATACAAGAATGTATATTTTTCATGCCCTACAAAGGTCGTAACTGGAGAAAAGGATCGTAGCATTCTGCATGTAGACTGTGATCCCGGTAGACCCTAAGCTATTTGCTTAATTTTTTTGAGAGAAAAACATACATAATGCCGGTGAGATTCAAAGTTTCTGGCACGCATGAAGTGTGTGAATGCACTCTAAATAAACGTCGCTCCAGAAACCCTCTCTGAAAGGATTTGTTAGCTTTGAAAAACCGTTAAGTATTTCTTATCGGCTCAAAGTGAAAACCACGGGTTTTTCAGCGCTTTTCACGACCGAAAACGGAGATAAAATACCCTTTAACAAACAAATATGGTTTTTGCTGCGGTTTTTTGAATGTTTAAATACGCCTCTTTCACTCAGAAACCTTCCAAAAAACCAGTGCATCTTTCCCTTCGGCCGGACATTAATCGTTTTAAAATTTATTCAGGAGCAAGTCATCCCTTTTAAAAGTTCTGAGGGCTTTTAGGTTTTAATAAATCTTTTCATTGTGGTAGTTTCAGAGTGCGTGGCTAAGTTTTCGAACCATCAGAGGCTTTAACAATGAGCATTTTAAAAAAAATGCAAATTTCGTCAAACTTCTAACCGATTTTTTTTTTTGAGGAATGACATTCACTCTGAGTTCCCTGCTCGGTTTTGCGCAGGAAAGACGTAAGCTTGAGCCTTGCATAAATCTGAAAGGATATTTCGTTCGAAAAGAGGTCTTATAGCATTTTTTGCAAACCTAATGTATTTCCGAATACATGAACCGATGGTTTCACGAAACGTTCTCAGTCTACGTTCTCGTTTATCCTTAAGGAAGAAAGATACATGCTCGTAATAGGGAAAAATATATAATGGTTGGTAGTAAAAAAAATAACGCTTTGCTCCACTATCACTCTTGCTATTTTTGTCCTATTCTGCGTTATGAAGCTAGCGTGATAAATAGAAAGGAAAAAAACGTTTTTTCTTTCTGCGCAATTCGATCATATAACTATTGTGTTAACGATAGAAGAAATCTTCTCTGACTTGGTTTTTTCCAACTTAAAGAGGACCTAAGAAGTCATCGAAGTTAACACAATAACCATATGATCGAATTACGCAGAAAGAAAAAACGTTTTTTTCCTCACTATTTATCATGCTAGCATCATACAACGCAGAATAGGACAAAAATAGCAAGAGTGATAATGGAGAAAAGCGTTATTTTTTTTACTACCAACCATTATGTATTTTTCCCTGTTACGAGTATGTATCGTTCTTCCTTAAGGGTAGACGTAAGATGTTTTCGTCGAATTTATTCATTTTGATCTGAGCGGTTATCATCATAAAGGCCGAAATGCTCTTTGGAATGAGACATCTCCCTGCTCTCTGCAAGCTTTCCTCACCTAGGTATCTATATTTAAAAATAATAAAGCAAAAAATTTAGAAATCAAAATGTCAACTCTTTGGATTTTATCTCATCGGACAAGAACTGAAAAATTTCTTTATGAGGCTTATCTTGTAAACAAAAAAATTGTCTTTTTAAATGACATGACTATCAAACGGCTTATCCACCGAACGTGACACTTCGCTGATCAAGTCTGAAAAAAAATTTTTTCGAGTTGAGCGGGATTGACCACATGGTTACATTCATTTTCACAAATCTGATATTCGGTTTTTCGGAAAACTTGATTTTTGACCTCAAAAACACGATTTTGAACCTTTCAGAAATCGTATTTTCAATTTCCTAGCCAAGAAATTTTTCAGAAAAAAGTCGAGTGACACATTTATAGATAGGATAAATCCATATGATACATATCACCATTACATCGACCTTAGGCACCAGTGACGAGATATACCTCTCCAAATACAGTTTTGTGTTCTGGATCAAATTTTGTTTTTGCTATCATGTATCTTTTTCAAAACAAAAAATTTGTCCTCTGAGATGTCCTGTCTGGAACATATGGTAAAAGCCTCAGCCACATCCGATCAAATTTCCAAAGGGTGCAGGTTAAAAACCGAGTTATGAGGATAACTCCTTAAAATTCGTTTCGGTTCATTAATAAAAGTAGAGTTGCGAAAATGGACACTAAGAAGCAGAATCTTATAGTAAGTTTTGTGTCAAAGCTGTCCATTTGCCTCCAGGCTGCAATTTAATGAAAATAGTTTCAGAATGGCTGGCTATAGTCAGCCACTGAGACGCGAAGAAAAAGCAAAAGAGCCAGAAAAGTAACTACTTACCTATACTAGATATATATCACGATACCGACAGTTTATAATTCAGACTACACGGCTGTTTTGAACAAGCTGCTGACGGTAAGCCTATTTTGACCTTTTGTTAATACAGCACACAGTTGAACATTGTTTTTTGTCGTAGGCATTTTGAGAGAAGGCAAGCTTTTAGGAAAAAACTCACCCTCATCTATTTATTGGTGAAAACATTCTTCGGTTATTATTGATAATCATCGAGAAAGATGAGTCACAAAACTTTTCACCTAGAAATGACTTCAGAAGTCTCAAGTGGACTTTTTTCGATCTAACTTGATGAACTCTATCCATCTGTAGCAGAGAGAACGATAAAAAAGATTCTGCTCCTTTTCTGCATTATTGGCACATTACTTAACCAGCGTTCAAAGCTATATTCTGGTTCATGCAAACACAGAACAATCCGAGGCAGTAAATTTTATTAAAATCTTGTTCCAATATCAAGGAATTGAATTAAATAAAGCACAGTGGGGAACAACGTGGACATTTGGACAAAAATTGAAAGTGAGATTTTTCAAGATTTGAATGGATTATATGTATTAACTTATGGCCTATTTATTGGTGAAAACATTCTTCGGTTATTATTGATAATCATCGAGAAAGGTGAGTCACAAAAATTTCTCGTTTTAATATTACTTTACCAAAAAACAACTTTTCCCAATAAGAACGTAGCTAGCGAGAAATAAGACCTATATAGTCTGAAAGCCTGAGTTCGGAGCTATCGATCCATAAAAAAGATTTTGAGTTTAAATTATTTCTGTGTGAAAAAAATAATGTTCTTTTACCGCTAAGTGAGTTTTCTCAAGGTGTGTTCAGTATAGTTTATCCCACATTTTGCCGCACGCTCCAAATTCAACGAGACTTCCAGGAAATGTTCGTCAATATGCGACAAGTTTGCAGAATTAGTCCAAACTTGCCAAACGCTTTTTCATGGAGAAAATACGATTTCTCCAGCAAATACGATTTTCTCGCTTCCAAAGCAGTTTTTCACAAAACTATTTACAGATTTGGAATCAGCGTGAAACATTACATCTAAAGTGTTTGAGGTATTTCTAAATAAAAAATGTTTTAGTTTCGTGTAATGTGACGGTTTCAGCATATTGATATAACAATACTTACTTTGTATGTGGACATGTGTTAGAAAAGCGGCACGAAAGTCTCTAAGCCCTGTTTTTATAGGTTTTCGTATACGCTCTTTTCAATCGCGCAATCGTCAAGCTTTCAAAGTAGGTTTGTACCGGTTTTCCAGAGATCCGATATCTGAAAAACCAGTTCGAACATACTTCAGAAGTTTAAAGACTGCATCATTGACAAGAGCGTATACAAAAACCTATGAAAACAGTGCTTAGAGACTTCCATACCGCTTTTGTAGCACATGTCCACGTGCCTAGCCAAAATTCCCCATTGCGTAAAGCTATGTAATGGTAGGACTTTGTGTAAACTCATAATATTTATTTTATAGTACAAATTGGTTATTTATTTTATTTTTATTAATTTTTTATTTCTTCCTTTTTACTTCGTAGTTTATTTGTATTGCTTAACTAAACGTTTCGATTAATGAAAATCTTCATCAGTAGTTGACAATAAAAACAAGTGTTATAAAACAAAAACAAAGATTAGAACAACCAAAATCATAAATCTTATCTGTTCGTAAATATTTGCTTGCTTGAATAACAATTGTTTTTTTGCTTTATTTTTATTTAAAATTTTTTTTTAAAATAAACAGCTAATTTGTACTGTAAAATAAATACTATGGGCTTTTAATTAATTTTGAATCAATTTAAACTAATTTTGAGATTCAGTGGGATTCGCACAAAAAAAACCCGTTTCAAATCAATTCAGAAAATCATCTGCACTCAAAATTAAGTTAAACTAAATTTTTAATTTTAAAGTGAATGAAGACAAAATAAAAATGATAAACTGATTCAAATTAAATTAAAAATAGAGAAAAACTATGAAAATTATTCATCAGATAAAATTTGAATACGTCCAGTAGAACCGTTTACTTGAATACGTTGACCATTATGAAATATTATTTTAGCATTAGCAACACCAACAACCGCAGGTAAACCATATTCTCTCGAAACTATTGCACCATGTTGAAGCATACCACCCATTTCTAATACTAAAGCACCTACAATCGGAAATAATGATGTCCATGCTGGATCAGTAGCAGTACAAACTAATATTTCACCAGGCTGTAAATGAGAATTTATAGGATCATCAACAATTCGTACTTTTCCTTCATATATGCCCGGAGATACAGGACTACCAATATATTCACCCTCCATTAATTCAACTTGATCATTGTCATTGGGTATAGTTGTAGCATCATAATATGTTGTCCCGTCCGATAATAATATTAACGGTACCCGTTTACGAGTCATTTCTTTATTATATTGATTACGACGTTCAGATATTAAATTTTTCCAATAATTTGCTTTTTCGTATTGTTTATTATCCGTATCAAAAGCAAGTGATTTTAACTCATCAATATATAAGAAACAAATGTCATCAATATGAAGAATAATATTTTCTTGTACAGCAATATGAGCTTTTCTAAAAAGTTCTTTACGACATTTAGCAAATGTTTGAATAATTCCATGAAATTTTGGTGATTCTCTTAATGAAAATAAAATTTTTAATCTATTAAAAAATAAATTTAATATAGGTCTTTGAATAAAGGGCCATTTTAATTGATTTTCTATACGATTTAAAGTATCATATGCACTTTGTTTACTTTGCTCGTGTATTTTATTAAGAGCTTTATCAGGATTAATAATTTGTAAATAATTTTTAATTTGTTGAATAACTAATTGTGGTTCATCAGACCATCGTTTACGGCCAATATCAATTTCTCCGATACCACGACAACCATAATTTTGAAAAAATTGATTCATTTCTAATTGAATATTATCATCAAATAGTTGATTTTGGTACATATCTGCTAAATCATTTATTGTTTTTTGTTCAAATAATTTTAATGTCTGAACATTTTGTCTTATTAATACGGTTAGTTTCCATAAAATAAGATTCATTTCTGTTGTTGGATTTGACTCAACGGCACGTGTCAATGCAAGAGCATCAATTGGATCTTTTGCTATTTTTTCTAGTATATTTAAAGAAAATACTGCAGGTAAAATACAAGGCGCAGCATATTTTACCATAGTTGGTGCAAATCTTAACAAAATATTTATAAAATGATTGACACAATGAGTAAAATCATGATCATTTTGTTCTTCAAATCCTTTATCAATAAATTGATGATATTTTTTAATTTGATTTTCATATAATTTTTTTCCATATCGGGGAAATAAAAAGTTTCGTATTGATTTGAAAATAATTGGAATTATAACTGATACTACGAATAAAAATGATGCAAAAAATCTTAATGATGCAAAAAACGATTTTGATTGAAAACGTTTTGAACAAATAAGATAATTTACAATTTTACCCACTCCAGTATCAGCCATTGAAAGTTTAGAAGTTATTCCTAATGGTGATGTAATCATGTTCGTAATATCAATCCAAATACGATTAGCTGCTGCTTTAACTATATTATGTTTTAATGGATTTGAGGATATATCATCTTCAACGGTGTTACTTGAATTAGCACCTATTTCTCTCATACCATTACTAAGGATTGTACGAAGTGTACTTTCACCTAAAGGTGTTAATGGTTCAAAAAATCCTTGAATAGTACCAAATGACATCATACACCTCAAATCTGATTGATCTTGACACTGTTTGGGTATTGGAAATAAAGTTGTTATAGGTCTTGTTTGTAAAACATATAATTTTTCTTTTGTAAAACCCCATTCTATATCTTGTGGTTGATAATTATAACTTTTTTCTATTTCTTTTGCTAATTTAGCAAGTTCAATAATATATTTATCAGATAATGCTTCTATTTTCTTATCATTTTCATTGGTTATTAATGTTTCAGTACCACCATCTGCTTTACCAACAATAGAAATAGTTTTTTCTCCAATAGTTTTTATACGTATTTCTGTATATTGATTTTCATCAATTAATATTTCATAATGATCTGGTGTTACAAGACCTGATACTAAAGCTTCACCTAAACCCAATGTTGAATCAATTACTACTTCATTTCTTAATCCTGTAATTGGATTTGCTGTAAATACAACACCAGATGCTTCGGAAGGAAGCATTTCTTGAACAATTACGGCTAATTTTACTACTTTATGATCAATATTTGATTTTTGTCTATATGATATTGCACGACTTGTATATAATGATGCCCAACAATCTTTTACTTTTTCAATTAAATTCTCTCTAGTCACATGTAAATAAGTATCTTGCTGTCCTGCAAATGAATTTTCAGGTAAATCTTCAGCAGTAGCACTACTTCTTATAGCAACATGTAAATTAATTTTATCATTTTTCTTACATAATATATTATAATGTTCTATTATTAAGTTTACCATATCATCTGGTAAAGATACAGTACTAATTGTTTTCTGAATACTATTACTAATACTTTCCAATTCTTTTATATTATCAACATCTATTTCATTTATCTTCATTATTGTATCTTTTGATAGTTGATCATTAAACATATATTGAAAAGCACTTGTAGTTATAATAAAAGCATCAGGAACGTTGAATCCTCGTTGAAATAATATTGCCAAATTTGCTCCTTTACCTCCAACAATATCCAATTCAATAGCATGTTTCTCTTTTAAATTTACAACAAATGGTACATTATCACTATAAGCCATTTAATATATTGTCTAATCACAGAACGTTCATTAAAACACAGAAAAGTCAAACTAAAATGTATAAAAATGTCCTGTCAAAGTAGCCAAGTCTACGACTGAAATATATAATTTTTTAAATTCTTAAAATGTGCTATTTACATATCAGATTATTATGCTGATCGAATACAAGGATCTCAAAGGAGGAAGGAAAAAAATCGTTCAAACCCCAATGCAGAAGTGAGTTGAAACTTACACTCCTATTCATTCGGAATATAATTTTAACGACTGTCATAAAAACAAAATACGTGCGATTTGTGAAAGAATATGAGCAGTTTTTACTTCGATTTTAGTTTTAGCTTTGAGTAATTTGCATTTGACTATCGGTTGCGAAAGCCAGTTTCTAAACAGGAACGATAAAAGAATCATTAATTTATAATAAAACTTCCAGTATGAATATAGTTTGATGTCATGTAGTAACGTGGCCAGGTCGATGATACATAACATACATAAAAGCAACAGAAACGGCAAAAAGTAACAGAAGAAAGAGTAGAAACATGAAAAAGTAAAAATACCGATGCGTAGCCAAAGAAAGCAAAAGAAAAGTGCGTGAGACACGTGTATAGTGGAAAGACAACACGTGTATATTGGAAAGAACGTATGCAAATAGACAGAAATGGCATAAGTGCATGTAATGTGAGCAAAATCAATGACAAAGAATAGTAGAACATCATCAAGTATGCTTAAATCTGTTCGTACAGCAGATAAAACCACAAACAAAGCCTAAATTTTGTGTTAATCCAAGAGACATATTTGTCGAAGTGAAATAGCAAATGATAATAAAATAGTACATTTATACAATGTTACTTCCGCATAGGTTCTCGCACTTTTCCAAGACTAAGAGCAGCCAAGGTCTCAGTATGCCTATGTTGTAGAGCTCAGTGAACTACGTATAGTTTCATCATACTTTGTTTCGAAAAAGATCGCCCCGAACTTGACATATTCGTGGCCAGAAATACATCAGCTGAGATCTAGATTGCAAATTGCATGATTCATATACTATAATTCATCTTACCCTTTATGCGGTATTGATTCGTTAGACGTTGCAAATAATAAATGTTGAAAATATGTTTTTTCTTTTAAAAAAGTATTTATTTATATCACTATCTATCGTCAACATTTTCTAATTGAAATTTAAAATGATTTCAGTTTCTTCTTTTCTTGTGCAAATATACTTATCTTGACGAAATGAAAATATAAAAAGAAGTTTATCTTATGTCACACCACTATTTATGTGCACAAAGCATCATCATCGTTCTTGATTCATTCTTGATATAGATATAAAATGGTAAATTTCGATATTGAAAGTTTATTTATAAATATACCTGTTGAAGAGACAGAACTATTCGATTATGTTCAAGCTATGTAAGTTACTGTTTCATGAAAATTTTAATTATATACATAATAAGATAAGATTGAAAGAGATCAATTAAATGACACAAAGAAGATACAATATTTTTTGAAATTCTCTACATTGATAAACCGGGTATTGAGTTAGCTAAACAGCTAAAAAGGAGAATAGCTAACCATCATTCTAATTCAGATTTGCGAGTCATTTATAAAACATCAAATACAATAAATCATTGCTTTCCACATAAAGACCGTTTAAACACAGTACACATGCCTGGTTTAACGTATCAAATAAGTTGTATAATTAAATATTTACAATCACAACAAGATTCAAGACGCAGCGATCGCTTTGCTAAAAGAAACTTAGCAGCAATAAATATAACTTCTAATTCTTCGAATTTAAATGATACACATGAATATAAATCTAATTCAGCTTTAGTTAAGCACAGTTCAAAAACAGAATATTCAGTAAACCCCTTGATTTCGCTATGGTATAGACAACACTTGGGAGCATAGATTCATGTAAGAATTATAGGTCAGAATTTTGGTGTCATTCGTACAATGAGATAAATTTTTAGAATAGAGGTGGTGTTCCGAAAACTCATCAGACTTACTTCCTAAGTGACCTCATCAGGGTTACAATTCTTTCATGAATCTATGCTCTCAAGTGTCGTCTATACCATAGCGAAAACTGCATATCCATATCTTTTTACGTTCCAAGTTATTAGGAAATCAAAAACTAAAAAAAGCGTCCTGAATTCGAGAATCTAGTAATCAAAAAGTTCATTTTCATAATAAACTAACACAAGACACATAAAACTCTAACACAAGATCATCGGCATTTTCGGATTCTAGCTCCTCTAGTAATTCGAGCAATTTCTTCTCAATTTAGTGGTACTGATCGTTCCTAGAAATACATATTTCTAAAAGGTTTTTAAAACTAATTGTAAACAAAAGAGAAACGAAAAAAGTTTTCAAGAAATACTTTTCTTCACTTTCTTCTGTTTGCAATACCAAAATCTGTTTTTTTTGTACTACTAATATCAGTAGTTATATGATTTTGTATAACAAAAAACAAGAAAATAGTTTTCAGTCATGCATTTTCACTGGCTCCTTCATGTGTTGTACAAGTAGCAGAATGATCAGTGGTACGTTTTAACTGCCGTTCGTTTCTGGATTGGAGAAAATGTTTGCATCCAGTCACGAAAAGCTTTGTTTACGCCGGGACTACGCGAACTGTCACATCGCCTTTTCACCCAAACTTGGTGGATTACAGGTTATCAACTATGGTGAATTTTGAATACCATAGCCGTAGCTGTTTAGGGGCTTCCAGAGAGCGGTTTTCTGGAAAACCAAACAAAAGTAACCAAAACCTTTCTTAATGAGTCATAATTGTAGCCTGCACATTTCTGATTAAAATGAGACATATCAAAGCTCTATGTGACCTTTCTTTGCAAAGTAATAGAATTTGCAAGAAAAGCTCAAAATAATTTCTTTTTATTTCTCTGTAGCTTTGAACTCACAATGAATATTTAGGGCTTTTCTTGTAAATTCTATAACTTTGCAAGGAGAGGTCGCATAGAGCTGGTAGATATCTCATTTTAATCAGAAATTTGCGGGCTATAATCATGTCTCATTAAGAAAGATTTTGATTACTTTTAGAGTTTCTGAAAAACTGGTTTTCCAGAGAAACGCTCTCTGAAGCTCTTCGGCAGCTACCACTATGATATTCGAATTGAGTTGATAGCCTATAACCCACTAGGTTAGGCTGAAAAAGCGATGTGACAGTACGCGAGGTTCCCTTGTTAGTTCCTTCCAAAATAATTCTTTTAGAAAAGAAAAACTTCAAATTTATTACAGAAAATGTTGTGGTGTCATCCAATACTCATTATTAGGTTGGAATAAATGCTAATGAACATAAATATTCTTTTCCCGATTTATTCGATATTAATTTTCCATTATTGTTTAAATTAAATGTTAGTATTTTCTGTGTTTCTGAATTCAGGACAATCATTGCAAAATAATACCCTTCATAACAATTCCCAGCCGATGGTTCGTAATTATTAAAATTGTCTGATAAAATGTCTATTGTACCATTATAAGGGTTTAAACGTACCAAGCGACAGCCGCGCTTATTTGTGAAACGTTGCATACCATAAAAAGCATCCGTTTTATTATCATAACATAAATAAGATGGTAAATCAGAATTTAAAATTTGACTAATTATTTTTTGTTTTATCAAATCAATACCAACAAGAAGATCTTTAATACCAGATACCACTGTCACAAAATATTGATGATTTGTTGAATTATAAAATATTGTCATTGAATCAGGTGAAACACCATCAACTTTGCTAATATTTACCCATCGTGTAGCTATAAAGTTAATTGGATCTATCTGAACGATACTTACAGGATTCTCCTCTGCACTTGACATTTGTAATGAATATAATTTGCCTGTACTACTGTCAACACGTAAACCAAATAGTTCAGCATAATTTTCTGTAATAACTGGTCGATATTGTTTTGTACCATTGAATGGGTTAACCAAAATCAATGACATCGATGATTCTCGTTTTACCGCTGCTTCACTAACAAAAACATAGAATATTTTATTAATAAGATCATAGGTAACATCGTCAGGTTTGTAACCATTCAAAAGAGTAAATAGCGTAAATTCTCCAGTTAATGGATCAATTTTGTATAATTTATCTGATGATGGTCCAAGTTCATACGTTGCTCCTAATAAATAGCCTTTTGGAACTGTTCGTATGACATTGATAACATTAAAAATGATGCATGACAATAGTAATAAATATCGAAATGAATTATTCATTAATCTAAAACTTAACAGAAATGCACACTCTAAACCTTTGGATGTCATATATGAGCGAAGAGCACAATCATTGTACCGTTTGAGAAAAAATCGAAATAAATAAAGTTGCTCATGGAAAAAAACTTAGTGCTACATTCGATAGAGCTATGACGACTGTGTATGGAAATACTGCTTTCCCGACACTTCATGATATGTTTATGTGTCGTTCAGTTTTGAGGGAGAAATATTCCGAAAAATGTCGCTCTACATTTTCAAAATAAAACTAAGTTTTCTGACGAACGAAAAAAGATTTTTGCTTTAGTTTTTGGAATATTACTCTACTCCATAAGACTGAAAAATACACCAATTTTTGTTTAAAACAGATAAGGTTTTATTGAGTTATAGCAAGCACAAAATTTATAATGTCGCTCTACATTCAGTGCGAAAATC